CGAGGTCCAGTGACCGCTTTGAGGAAGACGGGACCGGTGACATAATGAGAAACTTTGGAGCAGGTTGAGGAATGACTTATTTGGTGGAATAAAGTTGAGAATTCCGGGGTGGCTCGCCGTAATTCCTGAGCGGTTAGGTCCCGATTCTGGCGACGTGCTTGGCCGCTTTTACTTGTGTCGTTTTGTTCTGTTGTTTTACCATATTTAGGTACGCTTGCACGCGCGCGAGTGTCAGCATATGACTTGTTGCTACATGTATCAGACGGTAGACAGTCGACCGCAGATACTGAGATTTGTGTGGGGAAAAAGATGAGTCCCGCGGTCTATTGAGCGACTGTAAGCTGTGTATTCAAGCGGGTCACAATTGTGTGGCGTGATTTGTGGGTGTAGGAAAAGGGGCAGGTATCGTGATCCAGTAAGCGGCGGTGAGCAGTACAGTTAATTATATGGGCAAAGAGATAGCTGCGGTCCAAGAGTGAAATGTTTTTACGGGTAAAATGAGGCAAAAAGAAGTCAGTAGCCTTCGGCAGACTAAACAGTTGCGTTGTTTGTCGAGAGAATGAAGTTTCTTTACTCTCAGGTGGCTGGCAGGGATATAACGGCCAGCAAAATGTATGAATACAGTAAGTAAAAGATAAGGATATTCAGAGAGGCAGTTGTGCCATAAGTGAATACGTTGCAGAAGCATCGTAGCGACCACTTCCTCGGAAGCATAAAGCAACGGTGGTTTTGCCAGAAGTCTCATCGGAAAATATCGGGTCTCGGCTACATATTGCACCAGCGGGGCTACGTGCAGTCTGGAACCCACCGTTCACACCAATTTGGGCAAGAAGGGGGACATACCGGGTAGGGCCGGAAGAAAACAGCCGGGACATATCCGGTGGGACGAAGTCACCTGGCAAAAATTTACACAGAAGAGATGGCACGGGAAAACCAGAAATATGGACAAGGCGTGGGGTTGGCGGCAACCAACTAATAAAGGTTGGTAGATTTGTTCTGTTCGGATCCAGATGGCCTTTGTCATCCCCTCGAGGGCGGAAACTTCAAGGAGACTTGCACGAAGTCCCGACTTACACCGGTCAATACCACTGGGAAGAGACGGCTATTTCTCCCACGGTTGGTTATTTATCCTGAAAGAACGTGCACCAACGGGTGCGTTAAGAACCGGATCCAGACATTTTACTCATATACACCATGGATTTTTCATCTTCGCGTTCCTCTTAGTGCCTCCTAAACTTCGTGTTCATTTTGTGAACTGTAACCTTAGATTTAACGGATCGTGGAGTCAAAAATTACTTGCCTCGATCACCAAACCCTTGTGCCCGATACCATACATCCGGTCACTGCCCTCCTGTAGCCATTAGGTAGCTAAATGGCAGCGGTGTTGCCGTTTTGGAGCCATCTCCCGGAAGGAGGTGCGATCTATAAAACCTCAAGACGACATGGCTTGCTATTTTGGATGTCCCAAGGCAACGGAAAGACTGTTTATCTTAAAGGCACTGCTTGTTATAACGGTTTTCAAGCATCTTACTTCTTGGGTCCTCACTGCTGACGTCCATGAAGTACTTAGAGCCTCTTACCTGCCGGTGCTCCGCAACTAATGAACCCTCATGGCTCATCAAAAGTCCCGCTGACCGCAAGATTGCACTTGCATAGTCCAATCATCTCAAGTATCAAGCCCATTGCGAAGTAGCCCAGGAACCAAGGCTTGTTATCGCACCGGTGGCACGGCACTGCCATACGTAGTTTGATAACATGCTTGCAACTACTCGATCTGTACCCGTGATTGTGCCTTCGCACCCACTCACTCCGTTAACTGCAAATACGGGAAACATTTTTTACCTGGCTCCAGCCGCCTCTGGGACGAGTTTGATCTAATCCGGTAAACCCCTCATTTGGACTTAACCATTCTGGTTTTAGGGTTTCAGTGCGCCCCTTCCACATGTTTAACGATTTTATTTGCGGTGTTTATGTGGTTACATTCGTCAGCATTACCCCTCCCCCCAAATATTTACACCCAACTTTTCCTGGCCGTTGACGCACGTAAGCCCACCCAATTTAAACCATATTTTTGGAACAAATGTTGCAATGGGTTTCTACTTTGAACTTCCCATCTCTTTATATCCACTTGTGCTTTCCGTGACCTTTATAGTATACGGTGTATGTCATTCTGATTGATTCATATGTAAGTATTGGTGATGTACAACCTTGCTTGCTGGGCTTTGGTTCATGAGCTTTGTTTCCGTTTTCCATCCACAGAATTGCCGTGAACACTTGCCTTCGGAGAACCACTGTCCCCCGGTGCTTCCATAGCGTGCATATTACGCCTTGTTCACTTACTTCTCCGCCCAAGGTCACTCATGGAGAGCAACCGTATTCCGGTTTCAGTTCAAGTCAACGAGCTCCGTCATTGAAGTAGTCGTACCTCGTGATACAGTGTTCTGTGTTCCTATTTGCCACTGTATGTGATTACTTACCACGTAGTAAACCCGTCTCTTTGGTTTCACCTTCCTCTGCTGTTTCGCTATTCATTTTGTAAGGGCTAATATTGGCTTATTTGGTATGCTCCTCCCAGGCTGGGAAATGAACCTATTATTAGACACATTATGTGCCTACAAACCTCGCACTCTTCTCGCCATTGCATTGCCATGCAATATACGAAGCTTATTGTTTCGTTTATAACGTCGGCGTGCTTTGTTCTTCCTCGCCGCCGTGCCATGCACCTAACTGAAAATCTACTGTTGATACACGAACAGTATCAAAGTAGAAGCGGCAATTTTCACCGTTGCAACTGCGCTAGCTTCCCGAAGATAAGTGACAACTGAGCTGGGGTCACCGCTTGGTTGCCACCATAGTTGGCGTCGCCAAACTGGAGAGTTACGACCTCAGCAATGAAGAAATCCAATTGGTTTCTCCAGAGTCACGCCTATCACGACTCGACTCGCATACAGTTTAAAAGTGTATTTTGTCGATTTCAACGCGCCGGTTTCATCCAAGGAGTTAGTTTTGGTGTGTATTTTTAATTATTGGTTTAAAAAACCCAACACTAACCGATCATCAGCCTGATTTTACCACGGAGGTTTCACCTGTCCTTAACAAAAAAAATTCGCATTGCTTTTGGGTATTCTCAATAAAAGTTGGTGTTGAAGAGGCGGGTTGGCTAACACTTATATATTCTGGATTAACCAGAAAGGCTTTTTTTGAATTGATTTAAGGAGGAAAGAGATAGGAAACAATGGGGATAAGGCATCGAACATTAATAAACAAAAGACGGAAATGGTGTTGTATAGCAAAACTAACAGGCACAGCTTGCTCGCAACAAACGGGAATTGCGTGCAGAATAGTTTTGTGGCTGTCGATTCGGCTGTTCACAATGCTGCTGACGCAAAGCCGAGTAAAAATTATAAGTAGAGGACTAGGAATCCGAAGCCACAGGTGGCAGGGGAATGATACAGCCTTTTATCAGACTTAGATGCGTTTCACCGGGATGCGGTTGGCGTGAAGATTGGCATTAGAGTAATGAAGGTAATGGAAACTGGTTTTCGTACTTCATGAATGAAAAATGGGGACGCAGAAAGATGTTTAGTGGGCTCTTATTTTGTTGTATTATGAAAATGAACGAAAAGAACAAAACCTACCCAAGAAAACTGGGCAGCAGCCTCGGAGGAAGAAGAGAGGCGGACCTTTGCAGCGGCGCTGTTAGAAGTCGTTCAACAGAGTGCTTGGACCCAACATGTCGCTGCACCCACCAGATACCGCGCAGGCCAAC